ATAACGCCCTAGAAATTAACAATATATTTCGCCAAATCATATCATTGCCGCTGCACTTGACTGGTACTTGTCACCCAAGTATTTGTTATTATCTTTCTTCAATGCTTATTTTCACACACAACCACCCACTCCTCCCTTCTCCACCCAGTGACAACATGTGTGGGTTTAACATTTTTCAGCGTGGCAGCAAACAAATGTTAATTTCTTAATTAATTGACAGCATTCAGCGGCCGAAGCATTTGTTTATTCATTACATTCAATTATTCACGACTAGAGCAGATCTAATGTTCGATGAATAACCTTAGTTAATTATTTGTACTTAAGATGTGGATATATATACATATATAAACGCAAATACCTCTATTAGACAAGTGAAAACGCGTTAATTTCGGCAGGGCAGAACATTGTATACCCTCCACCTTAGGTAGACTGCCAGTTACTTGACATGAAGTTCCAAACGTACGTGGCTAAAAACTCTCTCTCTCTCTCTCTCTATATATATATCGGTTCAGATTTCGATTAGATATAGCCCCATATTGAGTTTGGTACATCATTAAACATAAAATCGGACGAATCATATATATATATATATATATATATTGGTTCGATTTAGTCCAATGTGATGGCTGTGAAGTTTTGTTGAAACGGTTCATTAGGGACCCCCTCTGCCTACGTCCCTGGCTCCCATACATAATTTTGCTCCATTTCATACAAATAGTACACCAAAGAATCCAAGTCTGCCCGACATTGCAATTTCAGAATGGTATGTGTATGGAGTTTTTTAATTTATCAAATATCTATGTAGATCAACCATTTAATTGCGCCTGATTCCACTTGAATGCTATGTCTGTTCAATATAAAAGATATTGTACATATTATCATCTCTTGTATGTACCCAAAGTGGTGAAGCGTATAACTTAGTCGCCCAGTCCGACTTTTGAACTTTCCTTACTGGTTTTTAACTTGCGACATTTGGTATAGCTTCCTTATAACAAGCTATACGAACAAATGGGCCTATACTGATAATCTTAAAGAGTATTTCCAAGCCAGTAGGAACAACCAAAGTCAGACTCAAAATTCAAATAAGCCAAATTACGTCTGAAGTGCTGAATGTACATATCTTTGTTCCAATATTTTTATTATTTTTTTCGAGAAGTAAAAATAATATTGTAGGGAATTTAATATACCAGTAGTGGAAATCTGTAAAATTTTTTGTCGTAAAACAATTACGGAAACACACTACAAATAAGTGTTTTTAATCGATAAGAACCTAAAATTGCAAAAAAAAAAGTATCCAGACTTACCTCATATTGCCTTTTGAATGGTGTCAATAACGCCCTAGAAATTAACAATATATTTCGCCAAATCATATCATTGCCGCTGCACTTGACTGGTACTTGTCACCCAAGTATTTGTTATTATCTTTCTTCATTGCTTATTTTCACACACAACCACCCCATTCCTTTCAGCGTGGCAGCAAACAAATGTTAATTTCTTAATTAATTGACAGCATTCAGCGGCCGAAGCATTTGTTTATTCATTACATTCAATTATTCACGACTAGAGCAGATCTAATGTTCGATCGGCATACATACATATATGAGGTTTTGCTCCAATCGATGTCATCCGTATAACGATTCATACCAAGTAGTCTGGTGGCATTCGCCGGCCCAGTGTGTTTGGTTGTGTGAATGGGAGCGCGTTGTTGACACGACTTGAACTTTGATGCTAAACGTTTCTAATTAATATCAAATTAATTCCATTAATGTCGAAAATGTCTATTAAAATGTATGCATCAGATATATGTATGTTGTCGTTGATGCCGATAAATTCTTTTGAATTTATGAGAGGAGATCGTTTGCCAACGATAGGAGATGGTGAATGAAACTATTGTTGCTGATATAGTTATTATATATAAATGTAATAAAATATTAATGTCCTTATAACTATTTATACAGTGATGTTTCAAAATTTTTCTTAATTTTGATTTAATTTAATATATATATATATATATTTTTTTTTGATTTAAGTTTGGGCCGAAAATGTTATATCCTCCATCGTGAAGTGAAGATTGAAAATACCAGTAATCGTTCGGGACCTTCAGTATTTATCTATATTCAAATTTTAATTGGAGACACCATGAAGTACACTATTCTTGATCAAAATAAGATTATTTTCCGTCATAAATGACATTTATCGCGATGTATTTTGGATACCTTTTCCGAAATTGGGTACCAAGCGAATTGGCTGTAATTTCATTTACAATCAAATCTTCCTGCCATAGTTTATCAAGATTGTTGCACTTCATAGGGTAGTATCCATATAATCACAACCTCAGTATACGATATTTTAAGGTTTTAAGCGATATCAAATTTGGACAATTCAGATTTTAAGTGATTTTCGGACAATATTATTGTATTTATTTGATTCAAATATTCCCACCAAAGTGTATGTATCGTTTTGGTATATAAAAGCTCTTATCAATTTTTGGTATTTTGAATGGGTAGTTGGTATAAAAGGTTTGACACTGCCGAACATATCGAATCTATTTACTTGTTTTGCAACATTTGTTTCTTTACAAACATAAGCTCATCGTTTTTTTATCCACTGTAGAAAAACTAATGGATGACGATGCAACATCTGTATTGCTCGTTGACATCAGCCTAGAAATAATGATAAATTAGTTCAACGGCTGACATTCATTTAATGCAACGATGTTAATTAGCAACGATTGTCGCCAAAGAAATGTCTTAAAGTTTTATTGGTTTTAATTTTCAAGAGCTTATTGCGGATCAAAAGTCAATTTGTGTGTGGTTGAGATTTTGCAAAAAAAAAAAAAAAAAAAAAAAATAGTTATGGAAAGTGGAATCATTATAACCTACATAATACTCACAAATGGAAAAGTTACGACAATAGATGACGCTTCAATTACACAATAGTTGTGGTGTACTTTACTTTATTTTACTGGCTCGAGACAGAACATTTGTTCCAGGAGCGTCGATCCTGTGCGCAGTTTCTACAATTTGAAAGTCCATGCTTTGATATATCATCATTCACTTGATCCTTTCATCGAATTATTGGCCCTCTACTTCTGCGTTGCCATCAGTAGGTTCGCTATTATAGGCCTTTTGAGCTGGGACATCCTCATCCATTCGCACAACATAGCCTAGCAACCGTAGTCGCTGCAGCTCGATACGTCTGACGATGTCCGTATATATATGGCATATCTCGTTGTTTACTCCGACCATAGTAGCATCTGTTGGTCAACACTGTTCATCTCCTATTTTAAAAACTGATATCATTAGCTGTAGTTTTCAAGTTCCACAGTTGGCCCGTGTCTACCTGACGTCTTGCGCGATGATTCCATTAACTTGGTCTTCTCGCCAATTTGTTCAAAAGTGACTGTTACCGCTCGTAAAATTGGGTCAATGTTCGTCGGTGTAGGCGAGTAACATGTGTTGTTTGGGTACAGAGTGCCATTTTTTCACATTTGCCTCTCGTGTGACCTTTTCCAGCAGGATATTAAAAAGATCACACGAGAGGCTGCCACCTTTTCTGAACCCTCGTTCTTCGATATTGAAGGACTCCGGAGGTCCTTTCCGACTTTAACCGATGACTTTGTTCCACTCAAAGTTATCCTGCATAGTCGTATTAATTTTTCAGGAATGCCGAACATGGCTTTTAAAACACCGTAACGACTCGAATGTGACTTTATAGTCGGCGAATAGGTGGAATGTATCGACATATTTTTCGTGGGTCTTTTCCAGGATTTGGCGCAGTGGTCTGGCCTGGTCTGAAGCCGCATTGTTTAGATCCATTGGCTTCAGTTGTTCACACAGCACGCTGGATAGCACTTAATATCCGATAGGAAAGAGACTTATTATAGTTGGCACATATCTTGTCTTGTCTTGCATCTGACCACCGGTATTGAATAGTTTGGCTGGTAACCCATCGGCACCTGCTGCTTTATTATTATTCAGCCGATTGATTGCTGGTATACACTCTATACGGTCATCTTTTATTGGTTCTGGGGTATCTTCTTCACCGTCACTACTTGATACCAGAACCTTTGCAAAATGCTTCTTCCAGATCCTAAACACGCTATCTGTATCTGTCACCGGGTTTCCATCTTCATTTCCACAGTAGGATGTGCCTGCACCAAAGCCTTTACTCGTTGGTAAATTTTCCAGACTCGATTTGCTACTACTCAGTGTCCCTAAGATCAGTGTCCCCAATAAGATCAGTGTCCCCAATTGAGATGAAAGAGAGACCAAGATTAGCCCGGGCTTACCATGTTAAAGCCAAACAGGGCAGCTCTTTTGTATCTATCATTCCCTACGTCACGGTAAACCATACTTAAATACCTCATGTCTACATTTTTGACATCCAAATAGTATCCAAAAATTTTAGATAAGGTCTTCAAAGACAAAAAATCAATATTCGTATGCTTTCATTGCCCTTTTCCAATTTTGCCCACTCCTTACTCAGAAAAGCTTAAATGTCGTGTTTCCGTACAGAAACACTTTTAACACGATGTAAATTTGCAAAGGAAACATCAACAATATTTTGATTAACAGAAGATTCTTGTAGGGTCTGGAATAAATACAGTGTATATGGTTTTTGGTATGTTATGCTAGTCAATAATATGGGTCTAATTTACAACTGATATGTTCCCGTACTGCAAGATTTTTTTGTTTAATTTTTAAAACTATAACAATATTTCCTGATATGATATGACAAAAATAGTAAAAATTAGTATATTCTTGCAATACGGGAACAGACCAAATGTCTAAAGCAATTAATCCGACAAATTCAATTACAACTGAATATTCCATCCACTACATTCACTTGTCATACACAATTAAGTTTGAGTCACCCATTATTTGCTTTAATTTAAATTCCACATAACAATGTGTACTGCCTTTAACATTAACTAAAATATTGCATACCTTAAGGCGCACATAAAACTGATTTTATTTCATTTAATTCTTCTATATCAGATCACGTAACTTCCGACCCGGCAGTATGCGTAAAGTAAGACGACGTGCCGTATTCAAAAATGGCGATTGTAATGTCCTGCAGAAGAATTTGACACGAAGACGTTTGCGATTCCTGCAAGATATGTACACCACATTGGTGGACACACAATGGCGTTGGACACTGCTCGCGTTTGCATTGTCATTCATATTGTCGTGGTTAATATTTGCCGTACTGTGGTGGCTAATCATGTATACACATGGTGATTTGGAGGAATTGCATTTGCCACACAATCAGGGTAAGTGGAAGGCAAAAATGGCGATTAAAGAATTAATTGAAACCTTCATTATTTGTCTTTTCAGAGGAAAGTGGCTGGGTACCTTGTGTCTCGGCCATAAACGGTTTCACCTCATGTTTCCTGTTCTCTATTGAAACCCAACACACCATTGGTTATGGTGTACGTACCACATCGGAGGAATGTCCGGAGGCTATATTTATGATGTGTTTCCAATCCATTTATGGTGTAATGTCCTCAGCCTTTATGGCTGGTATTGTCTTTGCCAAGATGACGCGTGCCAAACAGAGGGCGCAAACTTTGCTGTTCTCGAAAAATGCCGTTATTTGCCAAAGGGATGGTTGTCTCAGCCTTATGTTCCGTGTTGGTGATATGCGTAAATCGCACATCATTGGTGCCAGTGTCCGTGCCCAATTGATACGCACTAAGACGACCAAGGAAGGAGAAGTGATGACCCAACATTTTACTGACTTGGAAATTGGTGCCGATGACTGCGGCTCGGATATCTTCTTTATTTGGCCCATGGTTATTGAACACAAAATCGATGAGAATTCACCGCTGTATAATTTGTCCGCTACCGATATTCTAAATGATAAATTTGAAATTGTCGTCATATTGGAGGGTACTGTGGAATCTACCGGTCAGTCGACACAGGCCCGTTCCAGTTATATTAATACTGAAATTTTGTGGGGCCATCGCTTTGATCCTGTTGTTGTCTACAACAAGGATCGCCAGGCATATGAAATTGATTACGGCCGTTTCAATGAAACCACACAAGTGGATACACCGTTGTGCAGTGCCCGAGATTTAAATGAAATTTACAAAATCCAGGAAGGTTTCACAACACCAGGTATGTGATGGAAAAATTATTATTGGTGTGAGTGTGTGTATTTGTATGAATTACTAGATGACATGCATTTATACTTTTTTAGTAATGTCATGAAGAATTATCACCAATAATTGTAATTGGTCTGAATTTTGTACTACATTCTGTTTTAGTTGGTCATGTCATTAAATTGTTGGATTATTTAAGTTCTATACATTCATCCTCATCATCACCATCGCTATCGTTGAGTGCTTCATGTGGGGGTTTTAGAAAAGTGTGATAAATCGCGAACGGTAAGAGGAAGATTTATGTTTTTTTTTTGTTTTTGTATGAAATTAGTTGTGGGTATTTGGTGGCACGAGGTATGTAGTTAGCCATAAGTATTATGTGTATTAGTTGTCAATGATAATAAGGAAAGGGATATAGAAACAGATTCCAAATTTCAATTAAATTGTTGGAAAATTTCAAAATAGGTGTCGAGATACCGTAAGTGTCGAGATCAAAATAGCTGTCAATATATACAAAAATAAATTTAATTGAGCAAGGCAAAACCATAGATAGTCCAATTTGATCCATTACTCCAGTCGTATAGGAAAATTTGTCCATTCACTTAAATTTTTTGTTTTTTGCTAAATATTAACGGTTTAATTTATGAGTTTTTAGTGGTCATTAGAAGAAATATGAAGAAGCTTACTGTCACATTTATGATGGGCCATAAAAACGATACATTTCAATCAATATATACATAATGACTTAATAATATTATTATGAGTTTTGGCTATCAAAATACTTTCAAATTTTCTATTTGATAGTTATGTTCTGTTTTATTAGTCCCACAAAGACGTCATTTTATGATGTTTCTGTTTTGAAGGTATTAACAAAATTTGAAAGTATTACTAAAATGTCATCATAATCGAAATTCAATACCGCAATAAATTTAATTTATTTATAGGGATTTGCATGTGTTTATTTTTTTATTGATTAGTATCAACAAGCCAGAAACCTATTAGTAGAATTATATTGGAAATTGTTAATATATTTAGATATAAAGACATTTATTAAGTCGTAAGCACTATACAAAAATATTATGTCAAAAATACTTTTTAAAAAATATATATGTTTAAAAATCTAAATTAAAATCACAGTTTACACAGGAAAACTGTAATGCCAGATTACAGACAATACGGTTGGGGAACGAGGATTAAACTTTAAAAATGCAAAAAATGCACAAAATGGAGAATTTTTGTCATTTCGGTGTGTATATCCGGCTAAAACTTTCAAAAATGCCGAAAATGGGACGGGATTTCCATGAATCTTGAGTGCTAATTGGCAGATCATTTGGTTGGCAAAATATTAAAATACTTAAAAAGGGAAGGGATCTTCAAATAGTCGAAAAATGCCTTCAAAAATGTTTTTTAACGTCCAAATGCCAAATTACCTAGCCTTCGGCTGGAAATTGCATCAATAACCTTCAAAATACCGAACATGGACATGGACCTGTACTGAAAGTATAAGAGAAACATGGAGTGTATATTTAATTTGTCATTCGAAATATTCACCGGAGACCCCACTTAGTATTCTGGATCACAATCAAATTCGTCGATTTACGCATGTATATCTGTCTGTTGAAATAACGATAAAAATCACTGTATTTAAGATAGAGCTCTGAAATTTTGCACAGACATTGATTGTACACCTAGGATGTTTGGTATTATAAATGGGGTATATTGGTCCATGTATTGGTGTAGCAACCATATAACGGTACCGCAATATTCGGGGATTTTGGACACGTTTTCCAACCAAATTGGCTGTAATTTGGTATTTTTGGTTCTCATTATGAACACATCTCCGCACTAAAAATTATTAATATTGATTAAAGTTTCAGTGTAGCCCCCATATAACTCCTAATATTCGGTATTGTGCGGATTTTGGACACGTTTTCCAACCGAATAGGCTGTAATTTGATATTTTGGGTTCTCATTAAATAACACATAGCCGTACCAAGGAAAATAAATCCATTATTTATATATATGACTTTATGAACATGCATCGGAATGTCCGATTTGGGCCAAATATGCACCGTTTTGTTGTATGATTTGTTGCCATTTTAAATGTAACTTCATAATGCCTACCTCATAAAAGTCCTGCTGTGTATTTGCAAAAAAAGAACTTTAGTAGTCAATTTTCACAATCCTCCCTAGATACAATTTTTTTATCATAAAAAAATTGCAATGTAAGAAAAAGAAGACAATCGCTTGATGCCAAGTCCGGACTGTATGGCGGATGCATTAAAACTTCCCAGCCAAGCTCCCGAAGTTTCTGGCGAGTCACTGTAGATGTGTGTTGTCCTGGTGGAACACGACATCTCTGCTGTTGGGCAATTCTTGCCGTTTCTGTTCAATTGTAAATGGTTTAAAAAAGTTTTATGGTCGATTTTTAGCTCGGGGCGATGTTACGACTGCTAACATGCCGGTCAACCTCAATCATTTCTCCGATTTTATCGATATTTTTGAAATGTCACCCTTTCAACGAGCATAAATCTTAAATTTTTTGGTACTTTTCGAAAAATCTATCAGTAAAGCCATCTGCCGAAGATGTAATGGATTTATTTTTCCCAAACCTAATATATTCCTTAAGAATCCATGCATACGGTTCTGTTAGTCTCATAACAATATTATTTTAAAATCTGCGGCTTTGACAGCCTCTCTAAAACATTCTTTGCAAGACCGCGGCTCTGATAGTTTTACTAACAAATTCTTCAAAATTAAAACCACTAAGGAAAGCAGTAAAGTCGGACGGGGCCGACTATATGATACCCTTCACCACTATGGGTATATTAAACAGGACTATTAACACGAAATTGGATGAAATAAAATATGTGATATATATATATAAATATGAATCTACCTAGATCTACGTAATTCTATTCTCAATTTTGTACATTCAGCAACATTTCAGACAATCTGCCAAACATAAGGACTTTGGTGCACCATTTACATTAAATCGGACGAAAATATATATGGGAGCTATATCTAAATCTTTACCGATTTTCACGAAATTTGGCAGACATCATTCTAGACTCAATTCAGTACGTTATGCCAAATTGCGTGCAAATCGCAAGATATATGGGGACTTGGTTGCACCATTTACATGAAATCGGACGAAACTATATATGGGAGCTATATCTAAATCTTGGTCGATTTTCAGGAAACTTAACACACATCATTTAAGACTTAATTCATTATGCTATGCCAAATTTCGTGCAAATCGAAAGATATATGGGGACTTTGGTACACCATTTTCATTAAATCGGACAAAAATATATATGCGTGCTATATCTAAATATGGACCGATTTTCACGAAACTTAGCACACATTATTCTGAACCTAATTCAGTACTCTATGCAAAATTTCGTGCAAATCGAAACATATATAGGGACTTTGGTGCCCCTTTTACCTTAAATCGGACGAAAATATATATGGAGCTATATCTAAATCTGAACCGATTTTTCCCAATTTCAATAGGGTTCGTCCTTGGGCCAAATAAGTGAGCTGTGCCAAATTTCATCCAAATCGGATAATAAATGCGACCTGTACTTTTTTTACAATTTAACATTGACAGACGGACGACGGACATGCATAAATCGACTTAAAAAGTGATTCTATGCATATTCTCAAAAGGAACCATGTGTCTATCTCCTTTCCTTTTGCCTGTTACAAACATATGCACAAAGACATAATACCCTGTACCACGATGTGGTGAAGGGTATAAAAAGCTGTGATTGTCTCCCAAAAATATTCCAAAATGGTAGTCTAATAAAAATATTCCTTAAAACTTAAATATGCTTTAAAAAACCCAGTCCCAGTCTTTAGTCTCAGATATTATCTCAAATATATTCCTTAAGAATCCACGCTTACGGCTTATTTTAAAACCCCACGTTTACGGGTCTGATAGTTTTACCAAAATATTCTTAAAAAACAAAACCAAACAAGTACCTGAAATAGGAAACCTTTATATAAGGGACTACATTATAGATTTCCAGAGAAGTATTTTTCATTCATATAGAACACAAACATTCACAGTAGGGAAAATGGAAAAAACCCAAAAAGTGGACCTATGTAAAAAGTTGCCAGCGATGAAGTTGCCGCGTGAATGCGGAATATCAAAAGCTTCAAAAACATCGAAAATGGATTAATACCTTAATATGAACACCATACCAAAACGTGTCCCACATATTCCATGTTCAATACCAAATCATAAAATGTCTTATTTAAATCAAATAGGTATTAACCATTCCACTTGTGCACCAATTAAAGCAATTTTTTTGATAACCAATCACCACAATTTTGTCTAGAAGCACCGCTACACTTCATAACTTTATGTGTGTTTTATTTCTTAATTTGTGTTATTTTTCACTTGTTTCGTCTTTTATTATTATTATTTTTATATCTCTTTTTTGTTTAACAGAAACCACATTTACCATGCGTCAATTGTCCATCAATCCATCCGAATAAATGAGTTATGAAAAGAAATAAATCTCTATCAATATAAAATAATAAACTGAACATTCCAGCCATTACAATCGAGCAAATCGATCGTTCGGTGTAGCCCATGGTAGTACGAAGAAATATCTATAAACAAATTTAGACAATAAAACTAAAATACATCATTAGATCAAAACCGAATAAATATTTTTTTTTTTTTTTTGTTCGAATAATAGCTCTATTTATGTTTTACAACCGTTTATTGTAACCGATCATTTGTTTGTTGTTTTACGATTGTATTAATGTAAAATCCATATTAAAAATCTAGTTAAATGTTAAATTATCATATTGTATTGTTATATTGTTGTGCTTGTCTTGCTTAGTAGAAATAAATCATATAAGCCAAAAAAATTAAAAAAAACAAACAATGTTAGTTAGTGTTAATTTTATAATCCTAATAAAACATTATGAATAACTGTTTAAATCTATCCCCCCATTTAATGATTGCCTATTAGACTTTTGTATTTCATTTTATTTTTATTTCTGACATTGTTTCTTTTACAGACATTTGTAGACAATTCTCACCATCTCTTTCAGATCGACATAAATCTCCACCAGTAAATCCATTGTGGTCAGCAAAACAACAGAATGTTGTTTACAGATGGCAACTGTCAAATGAAGTCTAAACAATAAAAATAAAAAATATATAGAAAAATGCCAAAACAAAAATGTTGTGTTTTTATTACCAGTATTTGGTTAAAAATATATATTTGTTGTGGTAAGTAATAATCTCTTAAACAATAGATATATATCATTAAACAAAATATCGTGTGTCGGTAGTAATAAAAAATAAGACAAGAATAAAATACAATAAGTATAAATGCCTTTCAATTCCTACAACTAGAATTTCTCTGATAGAAAACTATGTGGAAGGACAACTAATGAAGATAGAATCCATATATTCAAACAAGGAAACATATAACAATCTATCAGCAGGAGCATGGTTTTAGAGACATTTTTTCAGGTCTGTGGAGTCAGTGTACATATGTCGGGTCCGTGAAATTTTAATGTAGATTTAAGGTGAAAAATGGAGGAAGGTACCATAGGAAATTGAGCTATGCAGCCAATATTATACAAAATCTTATCATATATAATAGTGACATGTTTGGACTCAATAGAATTTACCATTCACTTTATATGATGTATATGTTTTACACGTGTGTCTTATTATTCGATATGGACTTACAGTGTCACGGCCGCGGACGAACATTGTCAAAACCAAGTGCCTCGGAGGACAAATTTTTTGATGAGAATTGATAGAAAACACAACAATTAGAATAAATATGATCTTTTATATTGATACATTAAGGGATCATATGGTATATACAGTTGTTCACACTTGCAGTACTTAGTTCATCTAATTTGTTAGACAAATTTGTATATTAAACTTTGGTCCGATATGTCAAATTTTGTTGCTTTATAGACCTATGTAGATGTAAATTGCTAAATTTCATTGAAATTTGTTGAATACTAAATAATGAATTTTATAGGCCAAAAGGTGTGAAATTCTCAAGCCCCGTTATATGGGAGGTATACCAAATATTGGTCCGATATATCCAATTTTTTGTCAGTTGCTCTTTAGGCCAATAATAAGCACTTGTACCAAATTTCATTCACATACTATCCTTCTCCTCCTATTTTTTTCCCGATGTTAACATGAACTCGCGACATAGTGCGATGTACAAAGTCAAATCAAATGAGTTTCAGTAAAGCATATGTCATTATACCCTTCACCACACTGTGGTACAGGGTATTATGTCTTTGTGCATATGTTTCTAACAGGCAAAAGGAAACGAGATAGACATATGGTTCCTTTTGAGAATATGCATAGAATCACTTTCTAAGTCGATTTGTGCATGTCCGTCCGTCTGTCTGTCCATGTTAAATTGTAAGCAAAGTACAGGTCGCAATTATGATCCGAATTGGATGAAATTTGGCATAGGTCACTTATTCGGCCCAAGGACGAACCCTATTGAAATTGGGAAAAATCGGTTCAGATTTAATGTAAACGGTCCCTATATATCTTTCGATTTGCACGAAATTTGGTACAGCCTAATCATTTAGGTCTAGAATGATGTCTGCCAAGTTTCGTGAAAATCGGTCCAGATTTAGATATAGCTCCCATATATAGCTTCGTCCGATTTCATGTAAATGGTGCACCAAAGTCCCTATATATCTTTCGATTTGCACGAAATTTGGCATAACGTACTGAATTAAGCCTAGAGTAATGTCTGCCAAGTTTCGAGAAAATCGGTCCAGATTTAGATATAGCTCCCATATATAGTTTCGTCCGATTTCATGTAAATGGTGCCCCAAAGTCCCTATATATCTTTCGATTTGCATGAAATTTGGCATACCGTACTGAATTGAGCTTAGAATGATGTCTGCCCAGTTTCGAGAAAATCGCTCCAGATTTAGATATAGCTCCCATATATAGTTTCGTCCGATTTCATGTAAATGGTGCCCCAAAGTCCTTATATATCTTTCGATTTGCACGAAATTTGATACAGCCTAATCATTTAGGTCTAGAATTATGTCTGCCAAGATTCGTGAAAATCGGTCCAGATTTAGATATAGCTCCCATATATAGTTTCGTCCGATTTCATGTAAATGGTGCCCCAAAGTCCGTGTATATCTCTCGATTTGTAATTTGGCATAACGTACTAAATTGAGTCTAGAATGATGTCTGCCAAGTTTCGTGAAAATCGGTCCAGATTTAGATATAGCTCCCATATATAGTTTCGTCCCATTTCATGTAAATGGTGGACCAAAGTCCATATATATCCTTCGATTTGCACGAAATTTGGCATAACCTACTGAATTGAGCCTAGAGCGATGTGTGCCAAGTTTCGAGAAAATCGGTCCAGATTTCTATATAGCTCCCACATATAGTTTCGTCCGATTTCATGTAAATGGTGCACCAATTCCAAGTAAATTGGGCATCAAACTCCTTATGTTAGTCAGATTGACATCAAATTTTTCACAACGTACAAAATTGAGCATAGAATTACGTAGTTGTGTTTTCTAGAAGTACAGACATAGCCCAACGGATGACCTATTTATATTTGTTTGAAGTCGATTTACATACTTTATGGATAGATCTAGGTAGATTCACATTTAGATAAATATGACATATTGTATTTCATCCAATTTCATGTTAACAGTCCTGTTTAATATACCCATAGTGGTGAAGGGTATCATATAGTCGGCCCCGTCCGACTTTACTACTTTCCTTACTGGTTTTCATATTCTCTAATGGGAATAACTCTTTTGTCAAAAAAACTAATGGTTTTGCATGGGTTTCCGACGTTTCTGGCGTATGTATTATACGTCGAAAATGTATGCCATTTACGTCACTGTTTTTGACGGACCATCTCTTGTTGTGGATATTCAATTTCTTTTTTTTAGATTATCCTTTGGAAAACCAAAAGGAAAAGGGCGCTACAACACTTTTAATATATGCAATAGGTGCTCTAAAAATCATATGTATTATATTCTACAGTACCTGAATAGTTTTATGTGAGCACCTACCATATGGCCTATCTCATAGTAGTTGAGCAACAGGTGGAATGACGGCCACTAATGCACCAGCACCGTAGTGCTGTACCATTCGGTGAGCATGCTAAAGGCACACACTCCCCCTTGGTGAGGTGCGATACTACTAAGTGCACAAGGATGTGCTCTAAAAATTGTATATACCTTAAATTAGGTTTGGTGTTGTTCACCATTTATAGATTTTTAACAGATTTTCAAAAAAATTAGCGTATGTTGGAAACCGGTGGTAATTTTCATCTTAATTTGAGATATGTAATGTATTTGGGCGAAATTATATGTGGGAGCTGTACCATTTACACTTTTCAACAAAACTTAATGCAGGTCATTCTCGACTTTGGTGCACCTCCGTGGAGTCGGAAAAAAACTATATCTGGGAACTATGGCTAAATCTGAATCATTTTCATCAAATTCAATAGTGGTAGTCCTCGGGCCAAATAAATGATTTATGCGTATCCTCAAAAATGTGTTGTGCACGGACGGCTGGACATTTGTAATTCCTCTCAAAGTTATATACAACATATTTTTAAGGTTCAAATCCAATATAGCGATGAAACACATTTTTGTTCGAGTCTTATTTTTTTGCAATTATTCATTATGTTTTTGCAAAATAGTCAGGCTTAATCCCAGTTTGTTGTTTTTATAAAAAACAACTATTTATTTGTGGGGAATGTATGGCATTATAAAAACAACAAACTGGGATTAAGCCTGACTATTTTGCAAAAACAAAATACAAATGGTATCCCAAATAACCCGCCAAACACTACTGAAGTTGTAGACGAGGCACGGTCATACTGTTTGGTTTATTGCTTTAACTAGCAATGCCAACAACAACGTTATGTGCATTCGTCACAAAGTGACGACACATAGCAGTGGGAAATGTAATGTAGTTGTCTGTAAATGCCTTGTTGACCACGAAGTCAGGCGCCAACGAAACGAACTTCTCATTGGGGTCGTATCGCTGGTAACGTAAGAACTTCGAATTGTCACAAGAGACATTTGGGTTTGAAAGGTTTTTTGTAAAGAAGCTATTAATAGCTTCTGGGGAGAATATCCCAACAAAAAACTAAGGGAACTGATGAGGATCAGTGGCGAGATGCCATACATTCCCCACTAATAAATAGTTGTTTTTTATAAAAACAACAAACTGGGATTAAGCCTGACTATTTTGCAAAAACAAAATACAAATGGTATCCCAAATAACCCGCCAACACTACTGAAATTATTCATTATGCTAAGAAAGAGAACAATTTTCAAAATTTAATCTCATTTGAACACCAGTTCATTTATTGGTGTCCAATTAACATGATGTCAGTCGAAAATATATATGAGAGCTATATCTAAAGTTAAACAGATTTCAATAAAACCTGACACATATTAGGTAAGTTTTGCAAAATTTTGTTTTAATCGGTCTAAATTTCACTCTTATATATAAAACTTGGCACACGTTCGTCTATCTTAATTTTAGTAAGTTGTGCAAAATGTTGTGCCAATCGGCCTAAATTTGAAAAAAGGAGGCCCATGGTTCCTCATCATTCCTCCTCATTCGATTTGACTGAAGACATGTCATCTCAAAAAATAACGTGCAATAGCTATTCACACAGATGCAAAGCATTGCCCTCAAGAGTTACCTGCAAAAAATTCATGACGTCCTAACCCAAAAACTTTATCTAAGACGAATTTGTCCTTCTAACAAAGGTTTTAATCCACATAATTTATTTTCCCCCCAGACCATGACCTGCATTTTGTATAACAGTGTTATTTATTACTGCAAACGCTTTTGTCCTTGAAAACACACTTTGCTGTGAAAATTGTTATTGGAAGTTTACTTATTGTATGTTCAAAACGCTTTCTCTTATCCTAGATTTCTACAACATCAAACATACATTGTTGGCCATTCAATTAGGGTTCACCATGGGAGATCCTAAAAAATTGAAGAGCTTATAAAAAACTTGTTGGGCTTTGAACACATCATCGCACGTGGTGTTACCAATATCTACGCATGGTTGACTCTATCTCTAACCTGTTGACTTTTTCGAGAAATAACCACAAGATGTAAACAATGTTGCTCTAAACCCGCTG